AAGTATACAAGTGTTAGAAATTAGTTTTGCTTAATGTTTATAGAATTCTATTTTTATTTTGGAAGAAACATTATAAAACTATTTTCTATAGGTTCTTCAAAAAATATAAACGTTCCTCAAACAATCTGGATCTTTCATTTAAGTAAATACTTTAAATTCTTATTTGTCAAAATAAATAAATAAATAACTCCAAATAAACAAAAGCTTCTATTGAAGCATATGGTGCAAAGTTACACAGAATGGGCATAAACAAGATTCAGTTGGCTCAAAAAGAAACTGACTTTGGTCTTTGATTTTCCAAATATACATTGTCAGCATTTTTCTAGGAATTGTATAGTAAGAAAAAGAAGTGGAAATAATTCTAGTAAGGAAAAAGAATACAAACTTTTATAAATTAACAATATATTATCATAACAAAATACAAAAAATATATGGATCTAATTAGTGTCTATTGTCAAAGAAAATAGATTAGTTTAAAATAAGAATGCTGGATAAAGGAACAGAAAAGATTGGACAATAAAGTAAAGCAACAAAAATATCTGAGTTATTACATAGAAGATGAAAAAAACAGAAAAAAAGTAAATAGCTTCTTAAACGAACACACAACTAACAAATACCAAATGGGGAAGATAACATGTGAGTTGAATGTTAAGAACATGCTGACTGCTAAGGTGCAGCAGCAGCGCTCAGGCCAATTATATGGTAAGCACGGACAGTCTTGATTTTCTTTTCTAAGTATTAGAAACACATGGAAGGCCATCACCTATTGTTTATGCAAGGATACCACTGTTTTTGCATAGAATTAGAGGAAATACATTTGGGCAATAATCCACATCACCAAATAGATCGCCTGCCCAATAAAAGGTCCCATATTCAGTAGACTATGAGTTTCATGAGGCTTATGGCAGTTTCATTCATCACTGTACTTAGCAGTGTGGCCGGTGCATACTGAATCTTAATAGACATCAGTTTAATTATTGAATATACTTCAAACATGAGAACTTCCAGAAATTAATGACTCAGAAAGGCTATGTTAACCTAAGGAAACATTTTCCCCACTGATGTCTATTTCTTGCTGATCTCAACCTAATTTGCTAGGCTAATGTGGGGCTTACTGTTCCCCTTAACCACTACAACTCTGAGAAAATTTAACTCCACTGCCTATATGGTTCTAGATCCTAGATATGCCCACTATCTGGTACTTGATTTTCAAATACCTCTTTAGATTATGACAATAGAAATAAAGTAGTAATTACTACTTGTTGAATATTAAAGATTAGGTATTATATATACATTAATATGATCCTCATCATAATGCTATAAAGTAATGAGTACTTCCCCTATTATAAAGATGAAAAAACTGAGATCTGAAAAATTAAATATGTAGATAAAGGTTCTGTATTTTCTCAATGGCAAAGATGTAAACTTAATCAAGGCTTTTATTAGTCCAGAGTCCACTCTCTTGTTTTAAAAAATACTCTCCATTATATCAGAAGTCTAGGCACATGTTCAACTGTCAATAAATATTTTTAAATATTCTAAACAATATATAACAATAACTGATAGCTATTACTTCTACATTAATTTTAAAATTATTTTTTATATATTTAGAACCAATTTGCAAGTTTTATGTACTTCTCTATGCTAGGCATAATATAAACGTTTTTAAAAATATTATGTCATTTAATATAATCTAACATTCACCATCCCATGAGATAGGTAAAAACAGTCATTTTTTTACATAAGAAACAATCTCAGTTACTACATGGCAGAAAGGCGAATCAACTCACAATCTTATACCGTTAAAGACAAATTGTGTGTTCTTTGCTCCATCATGCTGGATACTACTAAAACGATTTAATCACCACATTTTCATCATTTTATCACACGATTGGACTTTTAGAACAAGAGTAGGGTACATAAAAGGGCAACTGAGTCTTGACTTTATTGTTGACGAAACTGCCTGCATTTTTTCCGAAGAGAGGTGGAGCAGCTGCAAGTGACCGGGGACACTTGCAATTTTTTCCTTGTGGCCTGACGTCATTGGAATTTGCCAGCAGTCTCTGAGGTGATGATATAACTCTATTACCAAAGGATTCATGCTTAACTTGCTTATTTATTAAAGGCATGCACAAATTATTTTTCTCATTACCATCAAATATAGCAGTTCATATAAAGAGACCAGATTACTTCATGTGAAATGACAGGGCTACTGAAAGAGAGGTGTAGTACCCAAATAATATTGCTCAGAAATAATGGCAAGAATGGTGGAGAAAGTCAAAGTCTGTGCTAGAACATTTCATGAGTTAATATTTTAAAAATCATTTTTGTAAATCAACTAAGTCAAACCATAAGAGCTCCATTCTCAAAAAAAAAAAAAAACCCTCTTAATTCATGGTGTGGCTCATGACATTTTGACATTCAACAGTGCATCTAAGTTATTTTTTTCTTTGGCATAGAACAGGTTATCACTCACACTATGATTAGGGAGCTACACTAAAACATTCTCTGAGAGTGGAATTAAGGAAAAAGAGGAAGGCACTTTATTAGATTTTCTTAAAAAAAAAAGGAACTATATATTTTAGCTGCAAAACAAAAACGTTAAAATGTAAAGTTATAGTAAACAGAAAAAACTGAACTCTGTTTTGATCTAGTATAGAAAATCTTACAAAAAATATTTTCTTTTTTTAATTTGCAACTTATTATGTTTAAGCACTATAAAAGAATAAACAGAGGCATGACATTGAGTTATTTGTGTTGATTTTTAATTCCATAAAAAGATTCCCAGTTTTCTTCATTTTAAATTATTTTTTACTTGGGTTTTAGCAATAACCAGATCTATTATTAATGTAGTATCATATTTCTGGATATCAGGTCTCAGCATTTATACATGCATAAGTGTGTAGTCAGGACATATACATAGAATAAATGGCGTTTTGTGTTCCCTAATGCCTTTTTTAGATGGTTTCCAGAGTACTGAGCATGGGAACATGTAAACCCAGTGAACATCCACTAGCCCCCTTATCCCAGTCTAGGAATAGCACATCCATTTTACATTGTCTGCTTCCTGCCCTTATTTAGTAAAAAGTGTTGGGAGCATCAGGATGAGAAGGACTCTGAGGCGATATTAAAGCTCGGTGGGAATGAATATTATGGACTGACTATGAAAGAAGGGAGTACAGAAAACGCATGCGTGCCTGGTTTGAGCACAGACTTTGAGCACAGGATTCAGTTTCACTTTCTATAGAATACTGTTTAGCCCAGCATCTGATCATGCCTTTTACAAATAATAGCAGATGGTGTTGATAAAATTCATCCTGCCTGTGAACAAACACAAAAACCCTTGTACCATATCCTCTAGGTTGATGTGGTATTCATTTTTCTTAATTAAACTATCATTGTTAGGAAGCATCGAAAGGATTCTCTGAAAGCAGGAGTTTCATCAGTGAGAGACTCTATGTAAACTTCAGGGAAAGCAATAAGCAGATCATTATAGAGTTATCAGCCCCCTGCAAAGTTAAACAATGAAGAATCAGTACACTATTAAATGGCAAATAGCAGAGGAGGGAAGCCATGAGCTGAACAGTCTCCAATCTTTTCTTTCAAACTGAATGATAACTATACAAAATCCAAATATACTATTCCTGTATATTGTTTAATTTTTAATAAAAAATTTGGTTAGTAGCAGATAAATTGCTCCTTAGAAGATCAGATTATGTGCTCTATGAAATATGACTTTATAGACTGTTTACGTTCAGCCAGTGAATGTTAGAGATACACAGTACTTTTGAGGCAAGAAGGGAAAATGACTGCCTCATTGAAAATGTTCTTGCTCTTTGTAGTTTGTTTTTAGCAAGTCCTCTATGCAAGCGTCTCTTAAAGCACTGTCCCTAATTGAACTAACTTCCATTCGATTTTGAGAAATTAAGATTTTCTTTATCATGGTGCCTAACATACTCTACAGATTCTGATATGAAAACAATTACCCCACATTACTGTAGTAGTATTAGCAGTAGCAGCGGCAGCCGCATCAAAGGGAGCTAACGTTGAAAGAATGTCATATGTGGCAGACATTTTACTAACTGGCAGGTAGAGGCTATCTTATTTAACCCTCACAACAAATGAACAAGGAGGGTTTTTCTTTCATTGGCTAAATGAGATAAATGAATCTCACAGAACTGATATAATTTGCCTGAGGTAACTCACACATCTATCAAAGATGGGATAAGAAGTTACTTGCTGTGTTCTGATTTCCAGGTTTCTCTTACATGCATCTATGGCCACATGTTTGAGAGGAAGCTACAAAGTAATTTAGATGAGCTGTTGGACATTCCTATAAGCCAACCACAGAGGAATTACAGAAGCATAAGCCAAAAGATAAATGAGATTGTTAGAAAATATAAAGCCAGAGAGAAAACAATGTTGGTCTCCAGAATTTCTATGGGTATGATTAACCTATGAATCCAGGCTCTGTAATTTGAATCTTTGTCCACGTTACTATATCATTGTGTTTTCCCTATAATACAAATAATGTTTATCAGCATCAATAATAAACTAGACAGCATTCTTAATTTCACAATTGCCCATGCTAAGTCTTCTAGCAGAAATATTGAAGAGATTCATAAATACAGTAAATATTTCAAAATAAAAACATGACTTTGACAGCCTTATTAAATTTCTAATCATAAGCTCCATGTTCTTCTAATAAAAATACAAAGACACATATATATAATGTATGCATAAATATGTACATAAATATAGGAATACTTTTACTGTTTCATTTCACAAATAATGTCTTATCTTAGCAACCATTTTTTTAAACTTGTTATGTAGCATATGATATATATGTATATAAAATCTTTGTTTCATATTTTATGAAAGGAATAAATGCCAAATATATTTTACAAATATACTATCTGACTACAACTCTTATTTTTAAAATGTTTTCATTGTGTCAAATATTTAATCAGCATAAAAATTAACATTATTTTTCTCCTTACCTCTACAGATGGGAACAGGAAAATCCCATGAGGCAGTATTAACTGAATTGGCTATACAGGTGAGTTGAGGGTGGCCATCGAGGATATATCCAGTTACACAGCTATAGCGTATCTTGTCCCCAACGTCGAACCTTGTACCATATAATACACCTTTGGGTGGGACTCCTGGATTTCCACAAGAACTACTTTGCAATTCTGTAGAAAAGGGGGGAAAGGAGAGTTTACAGTTATTCTAATACATATTTTAATGCTTTATATTTATAAAAATGTACATACAGATGTATTTTCCTTTTAAGAAAATTCACACAAAAATGTCTTCCATTTAAATACATGTATTAGTGAAAAAATGGAAAGAGAATTAAATTTTATTAAATAAGTGTCATTTTTTTGTGCTAGAAAAATTTGGATAATTTATATTTTTTAATCATTGTAGAAATTTTTAAAATCAGTATTACTCATATTGTATAGATAAGTCAAACTGAGATTAATACTATTTACATGAATTCTTCAAAGTTACATTTTATTAACACAGTAATAAGCAAATCAAATTTCATTAATATACTCTCCATTACTCTGATGCTTGTACTTAACCCTCACCAGCCGTCCTCAACCTTTGTGGCACCAGGGACTGGTGCTCCTGTGAGAATCTAATGCCTGATGATCTGAGGTGGAGCTGAGGCAGTGATGCTAGCTAGCTCTGGGGAGCAACTGCAAATACAGATGAAGCTTTGCTCCCTTGCCTGCTGCTCACCTCCTGCTGTGAGGCCCGGTTCCTAACAGGCCAAAGACTGGACTGGTACCAGTCCACAGCCCAGTTGGGGACCCTTATCCTAAACCATGGGCATTCATTTAAAAATAATACACATTTTGGGTGAAAATTTTTTTTTCACTTAAAGGAGAAAAATATAGTGCAGTAAAACTGGACAAATTTTTGAAGTTTGAAAGACCAGGCTAGAATTCCACCTCTGTTATTTCTTTAACCTTAAAAGCACAATAAGAATCATAATAAGTATATAAAGCTACGAAGTTTTAATTGTATCAGTATGTAAAATATCTGGAAAATGCCTGATACATCAGAATATTTTACTTATTGCTTTATTAGTTGATGCTTAGAAGTATACAAATATATAAATATAACAGATTTTTAACTTAATATTTATTTCAGAGAAAAATCCAATTTCGCTTTAAATTTAAAAAAAATAGAAAGATTTATAGAAGTAGCAGAACTTCCAGAACTTAATGGGGCTAGGGGAGAATTCTTTCTCATGTCATTTCCTAAATTTCCTAATTTATAAACCTTATACATATATTACTTTTTACTATCACTAATAATCAATAGACATACAAAAAGTAATTAATAGGCTTAAAAATATTCCAGTTTTAGTAAAGCCTATAGTTTATAGTATTATGCAAATGTTAATTTCCAAGTTTTGACAATCATGCTATAGTTACATATGTAATTAATATTAAGGGAAGCTGAATAAGAATATATGAGAACTCTATACTGTTTTCACAATTTACCTGAATATCTGAAAATACTACAAAATACAAAACTAAAAAAGATGTTGCAATGCAAAATGAAGTACGTTTCTATTTTGCCTTGATATGTATCCCATTTATGCAGTTAGTAAATTCCATGCAGTATCATTTTATATTAAGCCAATTAATTCTAAATCACTATATATTTAAAATATCAATGACGCTATTAAGTAAAAATATCAAAATTAAAATGCTTCATAATATGAAGTTACAACTTTACAAAAGCAGTGATCATTTATGGATAAAAAGTGTATACAGAGTTGAAATTTTGTATTTTTATCCATAATAGGCTTTTAGTACTTTGGGGAGTGTTTCTTAAGTGAGCATTAATTTTTCTATAAAAATTTTTTAACGATAGTGAAAAGAAACCTGTCGGCAATGAATTTCAAATGAGGTCAGTTTAATCAATAAAACATGTAGAAGATTCATAAAATTTGCATTAAATATACTCAAAATAAAGTACTTTTAGTTTAAAATACTTATTCTATTCTCGAACCTGGAAAAGTAAAGAACTTTACTAATATAAATTAAATAATAATGGTTTTATAAATAACAGGTGATCTCCTTAAACTTTCTCAGCATTTAGGTATACATCATAAACTAATATTTTAAATATCAGTGACCAAGGTTACTAATCTCTAATATTTTACCTTACTATTTTTCCCAGGCATATACTATTAAGTTCATTTTCGATAAAGTTTAAAACATATTTACTGTAAATTTTAATTCATTAAAATTATATTTGAAATGAATAATTTTGAAATAGTTAATTTGGGGAGAAGTCATTTAATTAATAGATGAGATGTTTTCTGCAAGGGATGGTAAGGTTAATAAGTTTTGACAAAATGAATATGAATTCAGTCCCTTGAAGATAGTAATAACAAAGGAAATACTTTTAATGAAACTACCACTTGTGGCCTTAGAATCCATCCACTCCTTTCCCTCTCACTTTCTAAAAAATAATTAAGGTCAGGACTTCAATTATCGTAAACTTATATATTTAGGAGAAAAAGCAGTTTCCAAATTATTTCACAGGAAGCAGTTAGGTGGAGGAGTAAAAGGAAAGAGAGGAAAGGTCTAAATAGTTATTACATTCAGATTTAACTTTGATTTAAATGAACAAACATTACTCAGAACAAAGTACCTAAAGCAAAACTGGAACACAAATGAAATAAATCAATGAATGAATAAGAACACTGGTTGAAATCTTAATAAATTACCTAAATCTATCCCTTGTCTTGTGGCTGAATTATTTCTAAACCAATAGATTCCAATTCCATATCCATTGCTCATGGATTCTATTTTTCGCTCTCCTTCAACCCTTTGAGACTTCTCTAAGCTGCATATGACCATTTTAAGATGAAGAGCAAACAAGGATGTACTATTAACTAGAAGAATTATATAACTCACCATACAAAAACGCTTTATTCTGATTGAAAACATTCACTTTTTAGTTCTGAATTTTTTTTAAACAAATGCTGCTGTATATTTGAACACTTTAACAAAATTAACTTTTTAATTCATATAAGAGTTTTAGAATAGCTAAGTAAGACTGGTTTTTAGGCAATGTCCCTACCAGCTATGAAGAATTTGAATTTCAGGCGAAAATATTCAGTAAAGCAGATTATAAAACAGTCACTAATACACATGGTATTTATAATAAGTAGTGATTTTGTTTAACTATTATAGAATCATTCTTAAGGAAACTCAAAATTAAAGCAATAAAGTGAAGAATTCTCATGTAATTCATCAAATGTGCATGCAAAATAACCACAATGTTCTTGTCATTTCAATTAATTTCTAAGCAAATAATTGCATCTAAAAACAGAATTGTCAAATAGACTACTGTTTTCTTATTTCTCCAAAGATGCCACTAATATACTGATCAAAAGGTTTAGGTGATTAAAACAAAACAATTATAGAACCTGACAAATACTTATCAAATATTCATTCTGTAATGCAGAAATTAAAGTGAAATGGAATTGTGAATGGGGGGTGGGAAGTAAAGTTATTTTCAGTATACTGTTGCTCAGCACTGATCATTTTTTAATGTAAAAATAAATATATAAAATAAACTTTGCTATTTGTTGCAGCCTTATTTGAATTCTTGGGATCTATGTCAGGAGGTAATGGTAGATATAACAGAAATATTAGAGTATGTAGTTTAATAAATTGAGATCACTGGAAAATGTGTGCTCTAGCTCCTGAGTTCACTGCTGTCCAATGTGAAGTCAGAGGCTGGTCTGAAGGCATGCAGGTGCCCTCCGTGCCTATTCAACAGTTTCCTACTGAAGACTGGAGAGCTGCAGCTCCCACTGCTCAGGCCACTGAATGGGTAGGAACAACCACTGAGTGGTCTTAAGCTGTTCTTCAACAAACTCTTACACAAAATGGAAATAAGGTTGACAGAAAATAGTTTCTTTAAAAAAAAAAAAAAAGATGCTCAACGTCACTAATCATCAGAGAAATGCAAATTAAAACCACAATGAGATATCACCTCACGCCTGTCAGAATGGCTTCATCAAGTCAAGGCTGTGGAAAAAGAGAATCCTCATACACTGCTAGTGGGATTGCACACTGGTACAGCCTCTATGGCAAACAGTTTGGAGGTTCCTCAGAATAGTAAAAATAAAACTACCTTACGATCCAGTAATTCCACTTCTGGGTATTTATCCAAAGAAAACCAAAACATGAATTTAAAAAATATACACATTCCTACGTTCTCTGCAGCTCTATTTAAAATATGCAAAGTAGAGAAGCAGTCTCAATGCCCATCAATAGACAAGTGGATAAAGCAGATGTGGTACATATTCACAGTGGAATATTATTCAACCATAAAAAAATAAAATCTTACCATTTGCAATGGCATGGATAGACCTAGAGGGTATTATCATGCTAAGTGAAAGAAGTCAGACAAAGCCAAATACCATATGATTTTACTTGTAAGTGGACTCTAAGGAATAAAATAAATGAACAAACCAAATAGAAACAGACTCATAGAAACAAAGAACAAACTGATGGTTGCCAGATGAGAGGTATGTTGGTGGGTAGGTGAAGAAGATGAAGGAATTAAAAAGCACAAACTGGTAGTTACAAAATAGTCATGCAGATGTGAAGTATAATAACATAGGAAATACAGTTGATACTATTATGTTAACTATATATAGTGCCAGGTGGGAACTAGAGTAATTGGGGGACTCACTTCATAAATTATAAAATGTCTAATCACTGTACACCTGAAACTAATATAAAATAATACTGAATGTCAATTCTAATTGAAAAATTAAAATTAAAAAATATATGTAAGAATCAAAGTACCATAATAGTTATTAGGTTTAGCAATAGAGTGAAGACAGGTTCTATGGGAGTTGTAGGATAGAAACTGAATTTGGAAAAAAATTCCGAAAGGGTTGACCAAAGATAGGCTCATATAGTGAATGCATATCTCATGCATAGGCTCACGATTAGAAAGGGGAACTACATATGTCATTGTTTTTTTGAGGGAGATACTATAAGCTCTTCATAAGGTAATAATTGAGAGGAAATAATTGAGATCTATTCTAAATGTATATATGAGCAGAGATTTTCATAAGTATGTATGATATGTATTGTGAGTTTACAAACTTAATAATAGTATGACATTGAATATGAATAAC